AGATTTATTTTAAAGTTAAGCGAATTAATGTTTCATATTTCATAAAAAAGGCAGCTGAATAATAAATACATCCTTGTCCGTTAAGATAAACAGCAATAACACAATTTTTTTTAAATGCCAAATATATAGCCAAAATTAACGCAAAATTATATATTCACGATTCGTCATTTTTTGTTTTAATTTTACTTTGATTTAAATTTATTTATCAGACAACACGCATAAATTGTTTACCTAAGCTTAATACACACCTGTAAAGTGAGAAAAACATTAAAGACACATACCGCCACCGCCTGTCAGAGTTCTCGTAGGTATTATGCCGTAGAACGTAGAATAAAAGCGACCAATTTCCCGATGCCGATGTAAAATACCAAATCTTCGAATCCGAAACAAATGAACGAAGCAACCAAACTCGGAACTCGGCATGTTTGATCGATCGCAGAGCCATCGAGCAATTGACTCAAAAAAGATTCGAATCTTTTAAAAACAGGGAATCAATTCATTCGAGTCAGTGCATTGATGCGTTCTTTTTGAACGAATCGTTAGCGAACGACACACCTCTAATCTGTTGAGTAAAATGGGGGAATATGGCAACATAAACTTCAAACGCTCACATTCTAACAAACAACCAACTTAGCCGCAAGAAAAAGGTGGCATCTTAGAGCGTGTCTATATGGGTGTTTGACGAGAAAGGCTCGTTGCTATATTCCCACTAAAAAGATAATTAGATTTAGTGGAATACAGTCTGCACAATATGCGTCGGAAGAAGTACATATCTCGTGAACCCAATCATGACATTTTAGACATTGTAACCAATCACATTTTGGACCTATTTTGTCAAAATACTATCCACCGCATTGGGCACAAAATTCTGAATATGTTCCAGTTCTGAACCCTCGCTTTCTACTGTAAGCACTTCCAATTCGCTATCTGACGAACTGGTATCATCAGTAGCCCTTGCAATATGTTTTTTTTTTCTGAACAGTAAATGTCTTCTTTTTTTTCTTTCTTGTCTTCACTACCTTCTTTTCTTTCCTTATCTTGCTTGCGTTTTATCTGTGCAATTTCCTTTTTTTCTTTTATTTCTTTTTTACGTCGTTTTTGTGCAATAATTGTTGTAAGTAGCTCAGTATGCTGTTTCCTTTTCTGACAACCACTTGATCCAGGCATAACTGGAATAGGCGCAATCTCCTCAAATGTTGTGTTGTTGGTCTTGAAGATTACTGCAACGTCATCAATAATATTGACCCCGTCATTAGGAGTATCGGTAGGGGTATTGTTAATAATGGGGGCATCATTAACGTTTTCTTCTAAAATATCGTTAATGGGAATTGTCTCTGGATTTTGCTGAATAAAAGCATGATCTGGAATTATGGTGGCAAAACCCGAAATTCCATTTTGTACTGTCGCTGCTTTTCCCCATGCGATGTTCAAGAGTGCCGGAAACTGCAGCCTACTTAATTTGCGACCTGGATGATTATGTACCCAGGTGTTACATGCCTGTGACCAGGAGGTCTTTAGAGGCTTAAAAAATGATCTGTTCAGTGGCTGCAACCAGTGGATCATATGGCTTGGCAAACACAAAATTATAACATCGTTGCTTGGAGCTAAATCCAACAACTCTACATCCGAACAGTGCGAGGAGTGTCCATCTAGAATGAGAAGTACTTTACCGGGCTCCTTTCTTGCAATAAAGTGCTCTCGATGCCATGTTTTAAAAAGGTCTGTTGTTACAAAGGCTGACTTTTCATTTATCTTGACTTTGCCACCAGGAGGCAAGCCATCTTCAAATTCTTGTTTTGTCTTCTTGCCTTTAAAAATACAAACGGGAGGAAAGAAATTACATTCTGCATTTACGCAGGCTAATACTGATATCGTCTCCTCTTTCTCAGCACTTGTAACGCAGTTTACAGTTTTGATGCTTTTAGTGGCAACAACTTTCCCTGTGTTATTGTTGAGTTGCAGCCCGGACTCATCAATATTAAATATTTTTCCCGGAGTGTTTAATAAATCATTGTCTGTTAATATTTTTTTCAAAAGATCCAAGTATCGTCCGCATTCTTCTTTATTTACACCCTAGGCTCGAGCTGGATGTCTCTTTATAAATGAGACGAACCAGTCATGGCCAGCTTGCTTTGTATCAATACTGATTCTGTTCGGAATATTATTTTGAATCGCAAAAAAATGCAAGCTTCTTCACATCAACCGATGTTAGCGCAAACCCATGCCTTTCCATGTTTTGAATGTATTTTGCCAAACTGCTTCATGAACTAAAGTCAGACAACTTTTGCGGCCTAATTTTTTTTACGGAGGTTCCCAGATTTCATTTTTCTCATCAAAGTACGGGCAGGAACCTTGTACGTACGACTAATTTGGCGAACTGAACCTCTACCGTTTCTAAGATCATCAATAGCATTGCGAAGATCTTCTTCGGACCATAAAGCCCTCACGTTCTTTCGAACATACGTTCGAGGCATCTAGACAATTACTGAAATAAAACAAAAAATGTGTCATGGGTAATATGCCGCCTTTCGGGGTAATATGCCCAGTTAAAAATTATGAGGCATTTTACCCACATTGTACATATTAACTCAAAAAGTGGCAACACCTATTTCAGACAAGTTTAACGGATTGTTCCACAAAAAAGAATGAGGTTAGGAATCGTATTTTTGCATACTTCTATTAAAACTGGATTAAAAACAGACTTACAACTTCTGTTACCGCTAGGTATAACTTGACCGAAGAATATTTTTTAGACGGTCCTTAACTTTACACTGACGATATCCACTAAGAAACTAATTAATTTGATTTCTGAAGGATTTACAAATGTTTGGTGCTTGAAACTGACACGTTAACATGAACACTGTTGCCAAAAGTGGCCTTGGAAGGAAGATGTCAAACTGCAGCGTATTACCCAGCGCGGCATATACCGCCACTTTACTCTATCCAAAATATTTCTTATATCATTTATAAATATGTTAAATAACAAAGGACCTAAATTAGAACCTTGCGGAATACCGGAAGTTGCCAGATATTGATTCGAAAACCGTTAATCTGAACATATTGTGTCGGAATATTAAGCCTTAAATAAATTTAACAGTGATTGGGAAAAACCACAGCATGAAAGTTTATTTAACATGATACCATAATCAAGCGGATCGAATGCTTTGGAAAATTCTGTGTATATAACATCCCTCTGGATTCTCTTGTCGATATTTTTTGCAATGTACTGTTACAGCTATACGATTGGTAACGGTGGAGCAGCCTTTCATGAATCCATGTTGCCTTTGAGAGCCATCCCCTCCTAAACTCGATTTCACCCAATAGAGCCTACCTCTGGAACCATGGTACTTGTATGATTGTTGTTCCCTTTTTTGTCTCACTCCAACCATGAGTACGCTTGTTGAGTGGCTTAGAATTTTTAAGATTAAACATCAGATTCACCTCTAGGGACCGGGGGTTCAGTTGCGCCATCTTGGGTTCTCGGAAAAAAGTTCTGCAGAGCACGGGCTGACACAGCAGAATCACGTGAGTGATATTTTTGTTTTGCCTTGACTGTAAAAGATCAATTCATATTAAACATTTATTTAAATTAAAATTTAATTAAAAAATAAATCAGATTAAAAAAAAAATCTTTGAATTCAATACCAACAAATTTTTATTTTCTTTTAACCACCTCCAATCACTCAAATCACATTTGGAGTAACTTGTTCCACACTGAGGTGAATGCACCTCCTTTTGTTTTGGGTAAATATTATAACATAACCACTAAAACTGCTGCACCAAGATGTAGGCAGCACGTAATAAGTGTTCAAAATGGCGGAGTTTTCTATCTCCTTTTAAAAGGCACTCAGAAAGCTGCGCAGTGTGACCATTCTCTGTACGGGCCCTATTCTCCAAGTTGAACGATGTGAACATTCCACTGTGGGATGTGAAATGTCAATTTTTTATTATTTTTTGACAATTGTAATAACAGATTATAGTTTTCAGTATTTTCTATTAAATCCCGTGCCAAAGGTTTACTTAGACGAACATTTTTTATGAATATTCGGTCACTAAAGTCAAAAGGATCCTCTTTTCTTAAAAAAGTATATTTGGTCGATTGACGTCTTCTCCCGCTTCAGCTAGATCATTCAAGATATGAATATAAATAAGAGCTTAGTCCAAATCTATTTTAATTAAAAAAAGTGACGTTTTGATAGTGCACGACAATGACACTTCTCCCAATGTTCTCCCGAAATGATGCTCTTCTACTGGTTTTGACTATGTTTTGTTCTCTCGATTTTCATGCTAAGTGGTCATTCACTTCAATTCAAGAATACCATTCACACACTTTTTAGGAGAACGGCTGTCCAGTTCGCATGAAATGATCATTCTCTCAACTGGAGAATAGGCCCCCAAGAAAGAGAAAATCATAGTATGTGATTATATCTAATTAGGCAATTAGGCAAGCGACAAAGCTGTCAAGTTTTCCGCTCGACGATCGACAAAGCTGTCACTTAATGTCAGTTCGCGGAAAACATCAACTTTGCGGTTGAATTTCGAAGCGCAAAAGCCTACTTTGGATAGTGATCGTAGAAAAAATATATTTTTAACTCAAACAAAACGAATCGGCAAATAGCAAGAATCACGACTAAACTAGTAACACGGGCAAGCTATTATGTAGCAAGCGTATTGAAATTGAAATAACAGTTGGCCGCATGATACTGGCCTAGTCAGAGATAAGGGACATCTCTATGTCCTAGTATCATGAGTTGACCTGGTTACCGCCACTCAATTTTTTTTCGGGAACAGATTTGTCGCTTCTCTGTGGTTGCATGTGGTGGTTGCTCTTCTCGGTCCGCACTAGAATATAAATATAGTATCAACCTGAGTAATGTATTTTTTTATAGCATCATGAATTCAATTTATATTGCTGTGTAATATTACCTTTTCTTGAATTAATATGCACCTTGGGACAACCTGATTTTTATTAACCTTTGACACTGACAATAATTTATAACATGTCAACTTTAATGGCAAACTTAGAAAATCCCATCGAGAATAAAATGACCATTAGGAGAAAATACACGATGTGTGCCAAAGCATTTTTGCTATTAATATTCTGCTTGTTATTAACGCAACAAATTGCGTCGCGTCTACCTAACTTAGGAGAACCGCAAATCTACCTGGTAACCCCGATGTACAAAACATTTACTGGACTTAATCCAGAAATTGTAAGTAATTTGGAACGATCTGAAGAATCGTTGATGATCTACGTTATAACTCCAACGTACAAAAGACCAGAACAGATACCTGAACTTACGCGACTATCGCATACTTTAAGGTTAGTAAAAAACATTACGTGGTTGGTTATAGACGACGCAGAAAGCAAGAGTTCAGTCGTAGAAAAGCTGTTAAATAAATCTGGAATTAGGTACGAATATATGCTGGCACCGATGCCGAATGAATTCAGATCAAATAAAAAGTATTTACCACGCGGAGTCTCCAATAGAAACAAAGGTATTACATGGATCAGAAATAATGCAAAAACAGGAATAATTTACTTTGCAGATGATGATAATACATACGATTTAAAACTTTTTGAAGAAATTCGAAAAACTAAGAAAATATCCATGTTTCCTGTGGGTCTTGTAACTCATTTGGGTCTTAGCACCCCGATTGTGAAAAACTGTACTTTCATTGGGTTTTACGATGGTTATTATGCTGGTAGGAAATATCCAGTTGATTTCGCTGGATTCGCTATTTCCGTAGAATTTTTGCTAAAAAGCCCGAATGCTACTATTCCTTTTAAAGCTGGATACGAAGAGGATTTATTTTTAAAAAGACTGTTGCCTTTTAGTTTTGGCGATATCGAATTACTTGCTTCTTGTTGTACTGAAATATTAGTTTGGCATACGCAAACCAAGAAAAATCACCCTACTCGTAAGATGCTTGATAAGTTAACAAATACGAATGTTGAGATTCTTTATAAGTTTTTAGTTTAGCTGTTTATCTTTTTGGACCAATAAAATTAAATCGAAAAAAACAAAACCGTTTGGAGAAATTAATTCCCAGCAAACTGGAAATCATTTTAATACCTTTATTTTGTACTAAATTTTGGTAGCCAAATAAACGCTAAATTTTGGCACTTTTTTCAGCTGGAAAACGATGCGTTAATTCTGCATCGAATGACATCCCAAACATTAGATTCGGTTTAGTGGTATAGCCAAAATCGAATGTTGGAAACGAAGAAAATTTCTTATTTCGGTGCAAACCTACATTTTACGGCATTCCAAGACCACATTTCTTGAAAGTAGATACTCATATTAAAACACCCATGGAACAAAAGTTGTACAGAATAAAATTTCACGTTACATAGATAACTTAGTTAAATTTAGTCTTTTTTAAATTAAAAATTTGGCATTTAAGGTAAACAAATATCGAAATTTTGCACCAAAACCGAACTTCTTATTGCTTTGAAATATTATAGTAATATACACAACCTGAGTAGAGATTCGAGTAGTTCAAATAAAAATAATTTTTAATTTTAACAAAGCTGTGCATTACCAATAAATCTTTAATAAGTGTTATTAATATTAATTTATTAAGAAGTAAATTAATCATAGTTTTGAAGTAACAAAAACACTTACAAATCTATTGATGAAATATAAATGAACACATGTTATAAATTAATATGCATGCATCACAAAATAAGGTAACATTCATGTTCGAATTTTTTGCATGTCGATGGCCCTTTATCTGAGAAGCTTTGAAGGTGATGTTGCATATTGAAGCCCTCTTCATCGGGATCATCTTCAAAGGGACTATCCTCACCTATTTCTGCAGCAATACGAGTCACACCCTTATCCTCAGAGGGTGCTGAATTCGATCATGACTGGTTATTGCCTACTTTTCGGCAGCAGCACTTCCCTGTACACTCCTTCGTACATTTGCAGGATACTGTGTTGATAATTCCAGCTAGAGCTGGATCCTTGGTGTTTATTAGGGGGAGAAGGCCAAGAGGATCCTTTGGTCTATCATACCAGCCCTGCACTTAAAGGTACATCTGTAGAATATGTTGGGCCGCGGCTGCATTTGTTAAAGGTAGAAAGGCCAGATTGAAAGTTTGCTTTGTTGGGGATTTTGAAAATATCTTTTAGCGGATTTTGTCCAAGGAGGTTCCATTTACCTTAGGCGAATAGAAGGCTGCCAAGAACAGTTAACCTACTGAAATGAGAACTTCAGGATCAGAATTTGTATGATGAAAAACCTTCTTAGTCTTTTGCAATGTCGTGTTCTTTTGAAGGAGCTTGACAAACTTCAACTTCTCATTCTGGTTCTGATTGACAACCAACGAGAAGTTGAAGTACCTGGGAGAGTAGAAATTGTTCTGAGAAATTCCCTTTCCAGGTTTCATAAAGTAAACGTTTGATGAATTTGGTACTTTGGTGGTTAATAGGATCAATCAATCGGTGGCCTGCTCGATTATGATGACCGTCCCAAAGTTGCCATGGGGGTCTTCAATAGGAGTATCTGCAAAATTTAAGTTCTCATCGAAATGAAAAATTTTACCCGTTTCTATCTATTGATTTTGGCTATACGACTTAACTGAAATAAAAGTTTAAGATGTCATTCGACGCAGAATTTAGTTCTTTTTAATATTGAATGGAATGACATTTTCCGTCCGACACATCGTTTTTTAGCCACAAGCAAAAAACTGGAAAAAGTGCAAACATTTGGCGGTTTTTTGCTACCAAAAGTTATAATAACTCATTAAAACTATTTCCAGCTTGCTGGAAATTAATTCTAAGACATATTAATTTGATTGGCGTATTTATGCCTAATTAACAATAAAAAACAGCTGTAAAAAGTTTTGGTAAAAGCATTGCAATCCTTGTAATTTCTTGTTGAACTGTAACTTATTTGTTTATTTAATTCAATAAATAAACATGTTTCTATAGTAAAGCAAAAATAGAAACCAACAAAAATACAACAATATGTAATTAATACAGTTGATAAAGGTTATATTAAACAAACATTACTACTACAATGTTTTAGGAAAAACAACAATGATAAAATAAACAGATAATGTTAAAATAATCAAATTCTACAACAAATCCACGAAATCCTACAAAGTCATATCACCTTAACCAGGGCCAACAATTTTCTATAGTTTTCGACTACATGCAGGGAGTAACAAAAAATGTACAGTACATTTAACTACAGTTTCTGGGGCACATTCAAGCTAACTTGCTTACATGAAAAATGGATACTAAAGAAGTTACTGGATAATAAAGTTAAAATTATTTTGTGCTCTTGCTCTAAAACGACTTGACATGTTTCTATAAAAATGTACATGGGATGTTAGTATATAGTGATTAATAAAATGAAGTTAGTGGCATTCAAAATTGTTTCAATTCTATTGGTTTTTAAAAGGGTTCTGCCATCTCTCTACTTTTTTAAACAATAAAATTCAGTTGAAAATAGTACATCACTGAAATCCTACGTTTATTTTAAAATCATTTGTCTTTGTTTGTGAAAGCTGTAATTACTGAGTTATAGGCTCCTGAAGAAGAATCAAATCCTGTCAAATGTGATCTAACAAAAGCGCCCCGACAAATACCGGCGACAAATGCGCTTTTCGACAAATGTGCTTTCCGACAAATGCGCTTTCCGACATTATGCGCCTCAAATTTTTTTTTTTAGTTGATCACTGGCAGAATTTATTTCGTACGGGAATGTTTATTTGATTTGAAACATGTCATAACTATGACTTATTTTAACAAATCACAAATATGTTTCAAATTCATGACCTTGTGTATTATTTTAGCATTAAGTTCGTTATCAGTTTTGGTCAGCCTCCCATTTGGACTGTCCAGAGTATTTAAAAGTAATTATAAAATATTGTCGAACAATTGTCGTATAAAAAATTTCTTCGTATCTCCAATAATAAAACTGCTATCGATTAATTATTACGCACTGATGGAACAAGCTAAAACAGCTAAAACTTGTCACCCCCCTAATCTCCGAACTCGTGAAAAAAATTGAAAATCGCTCAGACCCGTCGATTTTTATTTCAAGGGGGAACACTTTCACCAAATACATCATCAAAATTGAGAATCGATCAAGTGTTGTTGAAGTTTTAATGAAAACTAAGTTTTATCAAGATATTTTTATTTTTCATCACCTAAAACGTTATCATCGTAAGTAGATTCACTGTGGGAACGCCACTGTATTAAAAATTAATATGCTTTCAGAAATAATAGATTAAAAGGTAAGACAGACGTTATTATGAAAAAAAAAAAAAAATATCGCCATGTGTTTTTGTATACGCATATCTTTGTTGAAGTCTTGGTATATTGATGTATTCGATTCACTTCATTCAACAATTTGAAAACTGTCGAAAATGGTTTATACTATACAAGAGAGGATATCCATTGTAGCTGCGTATTTTGAAAATGGACGATGTGCTAGAGCTACGGCTCAAGGTTTCAATGAAATTCATCCAGAAAAAACCACATCATATCAGTACGTGATTCAATAGGCATCTGAAAATAAGATCGTAGCGCCATCGTGGCATACATTGGAACCCTCTTCTCTGACATTGGTTTTCTGTTTATGTATTGTTTTTAAATGTGCTTTGGGTTTTAACAATTTTATTTTATCATTTTTATCGTTAATAAGAGAACATTTTATCTGGAAAAGTTATTGCTATTTATTTCATTATTTATTTTATAGGTAAGTGTGCCTTTTCACCACAATCTACCATAAATAAAAAAAATATTTTTAAGGTTATTTTTGATTTTCAAAATTTTTTACTTTTATTTCGTAGTCTAATGTATATTTTGTTATATTTAAGGATTAATTTGGCGAGATGAAATTAAGCATAATCGACTACATGGACTATCTTGGGGGTACAAACACATCTAGATGTGTTTATGAAGGTGAAGAAGTGTTAAATGCTGGACATTTAATTATGTGTGGTAAATTGGACTCTACGAGCCAAGAAAAGAATATAGTTGTGTGTGGTTTATGTTTACAAACTAGTGACTTGAAATCTCATCCTCACGAAATAAAGGGCCAGCTGGAAATTATAAACAAAAAATTAAAAGTGAAAAACATGAACTGTTCTTGCAAGGCTGGAAATAGTGGAAAGTGCAAGCATATTTCTGCTCTTCTAATTAAGTGTACAAGGTGTATGATGTTGCTAATTTAAAAAAGGCGTTATCGTGCCATATCGATTCTTAATAAGATTGAAGTTAGTGCTTATGTTTTCTTTGCATTTTCTGCTGTTGTTTATTTTATTTTAGGGTTGATTTGGAAACATTAGAGGTCATTTCACAAACTCAAATAAAATGTACATGGTCAAAACAAAAAAGTTTGACTGAAGAAAAGTACCATGCTGTATCAATAAATCAGATGCCTTGTATCAAAAATGTGGATGACAAGGAATTGAAATTGGTAGTTGATGCAGAGAAAATGTACAATTTTTTTATTCAAAAACTACCATCCTCTGCACTTGCAAAGCATAAGTAAGTTTTGTAAATTAAAGAAACGTTTCTTTTTTGATATGTGTATTGTACTTGCCCTTCAATAAATAATAAAAGAAAGCTGAAATTAATAAATTTTAATAATAATATTCCTTTATTTTACATTAATAAATATACAATAAAATAACTAATTCGCAAATTAATTTTTAGGTTTGGGCGAAGACCAGTTCCTGATCATACCACTCTTTTGACAAATGATTTTAAAGAACATGAACATTCTATTTCCAGCATTTTAAATAATGCTGTTCAGTCACCACTAATGATGGAATTGTATTCTTTTGAAGTTAGTTTTAAATATGACTGTTGTGAACAATTGTATATTAAACTTTTTCAAAACAATGAAGAACCAATAGTTTTATCAATACAGCAGTCAAAAGCATGGTATGATCAGAGAAAATTTCGGGTTACTGGATCACGAGTTTATGGTTTGTATACCTATTCTGGAAACGACTGGGAAAATAAATCCATAAAGTATTTTTATCCCAAGAATTTTACGAATAAATTTATCAAACATGGAATAAAATATGAAGCTGAGGCTAGAGATGTTTTCAAGGAGAAAACTGGCTTCATGGTTACAGAATGTGGGTTAATAATTTCCCATTCTAATCCTTGGCTCGGATACTCCCCTGATGGGATTATAATGGATGAAGATAAACCTGTAGCTTTATTAGAAATTAAATGCTTATACAATGGTAATTCTGTATAGCCATCTATGGATAAATTAACAAAACATTTTTTTTAGGTAGTTCAGCTACAATTAACGAAATACTTCCGAAGGCAGCATTTTTGAATAAAAGTCATGACTCTTTTGAACTGAAAAAAAGACATCAATATTATGGCCAAATACAGTTGGGTATGGCTATGTTAAATGTGCCAAAATGTTATTTTGTAGTTTATGCCTCATTTGACAAATCATTAAAAATATTTGAAATAGATTTTGACCATGAATTTACAAAGGAAATGTTATTTACTGTCAAATATAATTTTTTTCAAAAAATGATACATAATTTGTGTGCTAACATATAAATAAATATTATTTATAAATATTTAGTTAATAAAGTGTATTTTTATAATTTTACTCTTATTAGTTTTTCCCTTCCATTTAAATTTACAAAAAACATCCTAGCCTTATTTTCTGTATATTTAAGTATTACAAATTTTATCAAATATAGAAAAACCAAACTTTAAATCACATTACATAGAGATCACAACTATAAATCAATCAAATTAACCTTAAACTAAGAATTCAAATAGAGATTTAACATTCACTAAAATTTAAAATACACAGGAAATTGTAGTCATAAAATTAAAATCGCATGTAATTACATAGAGAACATAACTATAAATCAAATTAACTTTAAAACTAAATATTTCAAATATAGAATTAACATTTACTAAAATACACAGCAAATTCTTGACATAAAAATACAATCACCTGTACATAGAGATCACAACTATAAATCAAATTAAATAGGAATCCAAATACCAAATTAACATTTACTAAAATCTAAAATACACAGCAAGTTTTAGGCAGATTCCAAGTGTTTTTTACTCCTTAAGATACCGACAATCTGCTAATATAGGACTTGATAAGTTGGTTAAACCACAAGCTATTATAAATATATGATTAATTTTTTTAACCAGAGACCATTGTAGTTTTGAATTTAAAATTTTAAAAATCTTTATTCTTTGATTTGCCCTCTCAATGTGAACACGAGCAGCTGCAATTTTTGAATTTAAAATAGCCTGTTCTGCAGTCAGCTGACTTTGTTTTTTTAAAAATGGAGGTCTAATTAATTTTATTTTAAAGGTTTCACAAATATCATCTATTAGAAATCCTTTATCTACCATAATTGCGTCTTTGTGGCTATCAAGTTTGAGTATGATATCGCTCTGCTCAAAAATGGTTTTGTCAGAAGCTCTTCCTCCATAAGGTTCACTAACATAGGTAATGATACCCCCAGGAGATACACCAGTCATAAATTTCACAGTTGTATTAGATTTATATTGTGAATAAAACTTAATTCTACAACAAAGGCACTTTGGTTTCTGTATAAATATTTCAGTACAATCGAGAACTAATCTCACATTTTCAAATCCTTTAAAACATATTGGCATATTTTGTTCAACTTCTTTTCCATCTGGAAACTTTATGGCACAGTTTAAAACACTGCTTAAAATTGGAAGCATATCAAAAATGTATTTTTTTACAAAGCTCTTGAGACACTGCAAATAAAATTGATAAAGTCACATAAGAAAGGTCACATTTTAATTTTGTCATCAGTAGAATTATACGTTGTCTTATATTTAATCTATGGCACCTCTGATCAGTATAATTCATTTCTACAGCTTCCACAATTGTATCCAAAAGCTGAAAACTGTGAATTCCAGTAAAACTATTAAGAGCACTGTCTGTTGTCAGGAGATCACATAATGTTGAAATTTTTGGGGTATTTACTTGTACCTCAAAGTCTCTAAACGTAGTGGGTCCTTCATAATTAGGATGTTCCTGCAAAAGCAGTAGTAGACCTTCTGCAGCTTCTAAATCTTCATGGGAATGTACAGGCCCAGGTTGTTCTTCTTCACTGCACTCACAGTCTATGGACTCTGAAGTTTTAGTGGCATTTCTCATGTTTAACCTTTTAGTTCTTTGAGAAACTTCAGGTTCGGGTTCTACAACAGTTGGAACAGATGAAATTGGCAAATTTTGTGTGGGAATAGCTGTCCACTTTAATCTTCTTCTGCCTGAAGTATTAACATCTAAAAATAACAAATTATAATTGTAAACATAACCTTAAAGTGACCAATATTTTATTTACCTCTTCGGAAAAAATCGTCATCAGTAA